ACGGGGAGAGCCGCTGGAGTGGAGGAGGAGACCGCCGCAGGAGCTACAGAGGACGGAACCACCCGCCCCGAGGCCAGCCACCAGGTCCGGACGGATCCCCCGGACCCCGCAACGTTTCCTCGTGGGCGCGGCCCAAGCGAGGTGCTCCAGTCAACCCGGGACGGGGACTGGCACCTCGGGGGGCTATGTGATGCCGCCGCCACGAAGCCGTTCGGCAGGCACCAAATCCCCGACCTCGCCACCACCAAGCAACGGAGCCGACCCCGCGTCCCCCTCACCTCACCTCACATGAACACACCCGCACTCATTTCCCCCCCCCCCCCCATAGAGCTCCGAGGGGAGGTCGCCTGGCCGACCGGTTTTTATCCGAGAGACCCTTATCGGGATTAATTCTCACGGTTTCCGGCGATCAGGGGATTGGATGACCTCCCCCGTGCTACGTGGCACCGCGGCGCTGCGGCCGGCCTTAATATGGTGTGGTCGCGGCGTGGGGCATTCGGCCACCGCGGTTGAAGCGCATCTCCCCCCACACACACTCCCACGGGTCGACGGGGCGAGCAGGGGAGGCACGGGACAGCATGAATAGGGGGGTCACAGGGGCTGTTGCGCATAGTCATGGAGGGTTGGGATAATTGCGCTTGAGCGCGCAGGCCCCATTGTTAGGGAGGGTAAGGGATTAAGTAGGATTTACGCCTTGCACGCAGCACACTGATTAGCATATCAACAGCGCCCAGAACCGCCGTGCGCGTGCCAGAGGATCGCGAGCCCATTGTTTAGCGCAGCATCCCCTTTGAGGTAGGGAGGATAAATAGAGGGGCGCAGAGGGAAAATAGCTCTCTTCTCTCCAGCGCCAGGCGACAGGACGCTCTCCAGTCCAGCGACCCGATCGTCCGTGAGACGCATCGAGGTGCGCTGCGAGCACGGGATCAACGAACCGCCGTGGGCATCCAGCAGGAACGTCTGCAGGTGAACGAGGGCGTGCGGCGAGCTATGCCTCTCACACGAGCTCGCGGAGGGACGGACCAGGGAGGGGAGCCGTCGGGCGATGAGCCCAGCGACGGCAGCAGCTGCTCGCAGAGCAGCGAGGGGTCGGCGCACGGCGGAGCCCCTGCCATAGGCACGGAGCAGGGAGGGACTCCGGGGACCAGCGGCCCCAACAGATGGTCGTCGAAATGTCACAACTTAATGCGCTGTGCACACAGCCCACAATGCACTGTCACATAAATAATGTACACCCCAGTGGCGTGGCACGAGGAGAAGAACTTGTTGACAATGAGACGCATCGCACCCATTTCATGTCTCGCGCTCCTCTTGATGTCTCCGGCCTCTGGGCCCTTTCCCTGCCCCCCCACCATAGCTTGGCTCTTCACCATTGTAACCCGGATTTACAAGTGGCTGCATCGAGAAGCTCTATACATTACAACATTTTAAAACGGCATATGGATTGGGAGCATGCACTTAAAATATAAAATTTTATCGGAAATTTTATGAAATATATATTTGGTGAGACACCGAATGTCTAAACCGGTCCAGAGTTTGCCTTATAAAACCCAATGCCACCAAATAAATGAGACGGCGGTGTGGCCGATGGTCTGCGCATAAATGTAGTTTTATGGTGTACAGTAATGGTAAAATATCCATTCGGTTTCTATGCCGAGGGACAGATGTGGGAAGGAGGCGTTCTGAGGAGCTTTGTATTCTGCAACAACAACAACGATGCTCCAATGCTGTGGCGATGACCGCGTGCATTTGCATTGGCGGAGCGCAAGGGGTCACCCAACACGTGGCCAGGCACTGGGCCCGTCAGCATGCACAGCCCACGTGTCACTCGCTCCGTGCCTGTCGCTTACACGATGCGTCAACATTGTTACTGGGTAGGGAAGCTGCCGTGGTGTAATGGTGGTGAGCAGCGCCACTCGACTGGATTTACATTCCAGAGGTCACCGGTTCGAATCATTCCCCCGACGTGGAAGTCATAAAAATGGGGGAAGCGCTTAAATATCTTCACCTCTCCACGCTTTAGTCTCTCCAATGGGATAAATGTGAGACTCTGATGTGAATCTCTGATCAAGCCGCCACGTGTGGTGAGGTAAAGTCCCTGTCCTCCCACAGCATCCATCACGGCTGGTCATGGCAGTCAACCAAATATCAGCTCCAGTTCCCTCTAGTGGAAGCCCTTCCACCAGCAGTGGCGTTAGCGGGAAATTGCAGGGCCGCGCCTTTGCCTTTCACAGCGTTGTTTCACGCGCATCGAGATTGACAAGAGAGATGTTTACTGTGACCGTCATAATTACTACGCATGTTTAAACTCAGCACGTACACATTCTGACACGCAATACATAAGCACGCGTGTAAGCGATTACAACTTACTCAAATTACGTGCAAATGTTACATTTCGAGTGAACTGGACTGTAAACAAACACAGCACAGGCGTTGCATAATAGCGCCGTCCCTGACGCACAATGTGGTCGACACGAGTCTCGACGGGGTGCGCCGTCTGGCGGGCTCTCGAGGTCTCGAGAGGTCGCTATTGCAGCGTCCATCACACGTGGACTGGCGGGTGCCGACATGGGCTTCAGGTCACTCATGCTTTGCCTTATTTATTCACGAATGTGGTTTAGGGATCAAATCTCTTCCCGTCCATGCACAGGCTGGTCCCACCGTCTGTTTCGTTTTCGTAAAGGATCAACAGAAGATGATGCCCGGTGCCGGCATGATGCCACCATGCCTGGCTAACATCCACCGTGGCTCTTACACTTCTGTATGTATACTGAACCTCGTTCTGACCTTATGTCGCCAACTGTGCTGATCGTTTGATTATTCAACACATTGAATAACACGTTAAATAATCAAACGATCGGCCTACTTACTAATCTTTCTACACATAAAGTAAAGTATGTTATACACATCCCATCAGTAAACAGCATTGGGGAGTGCATAATTTCAACAAAATAGTTTCAACACAAGCTCGCTCTGCGACAGTTTTGGCATTAAGTGTCTCATCATGCAGGGTCAGGCTTTTCTTAAACCAATGCTGGTTACTGCCTTCTATGTTGAACGCGTTATTTTTGCTTTTATTTTAAATTTAGTTGTTTACTATGATTTCTGTTTAGATGCTTTTGCACTTATTTATATTTGATAGATTGCTTTTGGTTTTTTTTTATTGACCCAGGTCACTTGCAAATTAGACTCCTCCTCGTGTTTTCAGCTCGCTATATAAAATATTATTGCAACGTTTGGTCAATGTGCAATGTGTTCAGCATAAACAAGGAGCGTGGATGGTCCGTATTAACGCGCACACACACGCACACACACTCACACACACACGCACACACGCATGCGCACACACACACGCACGCACACACATACACATGCACACACGCACGCACACACATGCACGCACACACACACATGCACACACACATACATGCTTGCTTGCTTTTAAAGGGAGAGTGGTGAGCGAGGCGGTGGGAAGCCACGGATCTGAGTGGCTGGGATTTGAATTTAGGTCACTGCACTCGCAGGGCATTGGCTGGGGCTCGGCGAGCGGCGACCACGCGCGGACACGTGCGGGCGTCTTCTTGCCCAGGCGGCTCGCCCAGCCCCGCATGCCTCCCTCCCTCCCTCCCCAGGTCGCCTCTGCACATTATCGAACACGACGTAACACGGCCGCCGCCTTGCCAGGCCACTATTATATCAACGCCTCCACCCCGCGCAGTGTCGTTCATGGGGCTTATTTGATCGTTTTTTTTAAAAATAATTCCTGAATTAAAATCGCACGACATTCTTCATTAACACTGTCTTATAACATAAACTAAATATTGTTCTAATTGTCCTTAGTTATAGCCCTGGATGAGGGCAATTTCCTAAAACGTTAGTGAAGGTTGCGAGTTCTATTTTTATCAAGATATTCACCTGGGTGACCCCTTGAGATTACTTTCGTTTGCCATTCTTCACGTACGAGTTGGTGAAGTGTTGATGGAAATGGTGGGAGGCGGGGGACAGACCGGCTGATGAATCCACTCGCCACTGATGTTGGTTGTGCTCGTGAATCTAACGCAGGTGACTCGATGTCTGTGCTTTATAGTGCAGTGCGCTCACCACTGCTGCCCAGATGTTCCCCCCACATTGTAAAGAAGCGGCACAAATTAGCTTAACGAAGGCAGCGTTCTATGTATAGGCAGAGTCTTAACGCGAGATCATCTCAACCAAATTTAGCTGCGCGGCTTGGCCGCGGCTTTTCCGCGTCACGGCGTGGCCGTGGGGCTGGGGTCACGCGGGGCCGGGCACTGTCCACGACGACTGCGACGACTCTGTGGTGGCAGTGGTGCATAAGCACAAACAATAACAATCTCAACCCATGCACCACGTATCACGATGCGTGGCCATGCGTTCGCGAACACGTGCAATGCACGAGCACGGTGCGAATAGGACGTCCGAGACCTCGAGAGACTCGAATAGAGTCTTAGTTTCAAGAATGTGATTTGGTCACCGAAACCAAAACCAAATAAAACAAGGCAGAGCCTCGCAGCCAGATGATAGCCAGCTGGAGCCTGTGCTGGTTTACACTGCCACGGCAATTACGCTCCGATGGGTAACAATGTCCCCGTACACCGCCGCGTGTTCACGCGGAGCCACCCACGTAACCGCCCGCGCCCTCCCGAGACCCCCCCCCAACCCCCCGGTGAAGTGAGGAGGCCACGGGGTGAAGGCGCAGCACGGCTCGGGGAACGTGAGTCGCGCTCGCAGCTCGCAGCTCGCCTCCCATTGGCGGGGGTCGCGTCGCGCCGCCTTCCAGCCGCGCGGTCTCTCAGCCAATGCGGCGCCGGCCACGGCGAGGCCTCGCTGAGCGGCCAATGGGCCCGTGCGGCCCCCCTCCGGCCCCCGGCGGTCACGTTGTGGCGAGCGTGTGGCTTGTGATAGGGACTCGTGGCAGACGGCGCCGGCACCATTCGTGAGCCAGATGCGCGCACCTGGGAGCTGCTGCTGCTGCTGCCGCTGCTGCTGTCAACGCCACCACCAGCATCGACAGACCCAGTCGCTGTTCAACATCTCCAGTTTAGTTATTTAATAGCGGTGCTGCGCATCACCTACACACGTGTAATGTATACATTCACATAAGCTTACAATAAGCAGATGTGGTCGAGGTTGTGATTTTAGGGGTTGATTTGTGTTTTGAAGTTTTAGTTTTTTTTACGTTTGGAGGAGACATCTGCGCATGGACGTTAGTTTCTGATTTAGCAAAAGAAAACACCGTGAGTTGATTTTGCCTCCATGCAAATAACACACGCACATTCACACACAACCATAACATTTCCCTAACATTCACACAAGGTAACATTACCATCACATTTACACACAACACCACATTACCCTCACATTAATTTACCCTCATACATTCACATAAAATACAACATTACCTTCACACATTCAACCTTCAGACACTTTTTTAAAATATTCACTAAATTACCTCCACATTCGCGTAATATTACCTTCACACAGATGGCTGATACTCCACTCGATTCCATACTCTGCAGTCACGTTCGCATGTGTGAATTCGTTGTTTTTATGCGTTAGTTAAGTTGTGGTGATTACATATGACAGATGTAATTGGCACCCATGTCAATATCCCACTCGTACACGATGCGTGCATGCAATGTGCACACCTGCAATGTGTGGGCTACGCGATATCACCAACGCTGATTACGAGTGCACATTAGCAGAGTCAAGTGTTCATTTTGTGTACGTACAGAAATGTCGTTAGATTGTTCGTTCTGTGCATGTATTGAAATGGTTGCTAATGCTTTTGGGCGTTCATACAGGCAAATACATACCATCACAGACTATGATGTGCACATGCATGCTGGGTGACACGCAGCGCCAGAAATGAATGTTCATTATTGCTATATTCATAACAATTGTGCCTCACAGCACCAACCATGGGTTCGATTCCCGGACTCGTTTTTCTGAGTTTGTTCTGTCTTGTGTTCTTCAATAGCTAAAAACAACCGTACAAAGGACCAATGCTTACAATGGAAAATAAAAACACAGCAAATTACTAATTTGGGATTAAACATAGCAACATCACCGCATACTGGAAAATAGTCTATAGACTGTTACTTTCCTGGGTAAACAGACGTCATAATAATTCCCTAGACATTAACATTGCACATCAACGCGTGTTCACGAGCATCTCTCCACTGCGTACAACGTGTATGACGGGAGGATGCGTTTGTACAAAGTATTGCACACAACTGCAACGTTGTATTGATGACGGATTTTTCTAATCACTGATTTTTTTACACAACGACGCCAATGATTATTGTGTTGTATGGTTTTGCGTCAAACTAGGACCTATATCTAACACCCATAGAAGGGTTCCTTTCCTGTAAATATCTGGCAGTTCTGCTTTAGTTCAAGCAAGCCTGACTGTTGATGAGACACTGACTATCAAAACTGGTCGAGTTTATCTTCTTGGTTCTTTCGGTAAAGTCACGTAGAAGGGAAGTAATAAAATAATAAAAATAAAACATAATAAAATCAAATAATTATTATGTTTTATTTTTATTATTTTATTACTTCCCTTCTACGTGACTTTACCGAAAGAACCAAGAAGATGAATCCCTGCAGTCACGAAAGCTTTAAATCGAAAAATGGTCGAGTTTGTTTCTCGTGTTGAAGAAATGCTGCTGAAATGATGCCACTCCAGAAGGCGTGTGGCGGATGTGATGTGTAAACTACGTTAAGTTTGTATGTGGACATGGGAAGGAGGAGGCGAAGTGCCCGCTGCGTATAATTTGTGTTCACCGGGGGCGAGAGACGCATCCACGAGTGTTGGGTCAAGGGGTGCGATACGATCACCGCGCGAGTAAACATCGACCGCGTGTTCTTCACTTGTGAAAATGGTACAAGGGGTGTTTTGTTTAAGCCAGTGGCGCGGACTAAACGTTAAATGGGACGGGACAGAACGGGGAAATACAAACGAGAAGGGCAAAACGAGATGACTCGATTTGCATTGAGTCGCGCCCGCTAAATCGCGGTGCATGTGTGTGGCGGTGAGGATGATGATGATGGTAGTTGAGCCCCTGGCTCCCCACGTACCCCGTGACACGTACCGCGCTTAGCCAAAGCACCGCGGGACGAGGATCCCTCCTCCGCACATCGGCTCGCGCTGCGCTCAGCTGCGCGAATGGAACAACTTTCTGTTACTCTGAAAAATAACGCGGCATCCACTCATGGATTGACCGCGGCACCATTAGAACACGACATCACCATTCGTTATTGCAGCGTTTTAATCAGGACCCATAGTTAACATAGGGAGGTATCTGCCTAGAAACATCTGGCAATTCACCAGAATTGGTTCAAACAAGTCTGATTATAGATGAGAGACACTGAATGTCGAAACCGCTCCGGAGTTCTGCGAGTGTTGAACTACGCACTCCTAGAAAACCGCGTGACTGATGGGATATGCAAATTGTATATGTGGAGACAGATGTGTGGAAGAGGCGAATTGTCTGCTAATGTCTATTGAGTTATCCACTTCTAAGGCTCAGGCATGTTTTGATTATTGATTATTCGGCTTGTTAACGCAGGAAAGTCTCATCGAGTCTCAATACATATCCACGAGGATATTTGACAGGATATGATCCTGTCAAGTGTTCACAGTCGTGGGTGCCGCAAGCAGCGCGGATTCCTGCGTGGAGATTTCGCGATACCGGCAAAGAAACTCCTTCCTCGAGTAAATAATTTGATGGGTGGAGTGCGAAAGACGAAAGTCAGAGAGCACGTGTGCATGCGGGTGCACGGGTTACATATTGATTTATCCTGTCACCCCTCACTCAAGATGGCTTGGCCGTCTTGTGTCGTGACTTAAACCTTCCTGCCACGAATAGAGGACGTCTGAGATCACGTCGCGTGCACAGAGGCTCTGCTGCTGAGCTGCAGTTCGTCCCAGACGGAACTCGCGCTTTTCTCAGCCGCTCCGATAATGTCTCGCCGACTATTTTTAAATCTGCGCGCGTTGTGTGTCTGTGTCAGCACCGCAATGCAACAAGTTTAATGATCTGCTGCTAAGCGCACACACATTGCAGTGTGTACAACGCACACATCACGGTGTGCGTGTGTGTGTTGTACACGAGAGACGAGCAAGCGGCACTCCCCGTGACCGTCGTGGAGGGTTAGTTGACCATACTTCATCGTTCTGGTCACTCTGAGTTGGTGAAGGCGCGTAGCATCAACTCCGCAGCATAAACGTGGAGCAGCAACAATGGATCTTGACCATTCCTTCGCCGCAGATAATCTCAGATGACGTGAATTCCCATAGCACTGCCGTTTCATTGAATTGGGTCCCGGGAGAGTGTCAACACGTGGGGTGGCAGTGAGTGGTGCACGAGTTTGCGTTTACTTTGACTAATAATAAGTGGCGGCAGCGATGCGTTGCGCATTACGCCGCATGCACAAAGCGCCTCGGCTCACGGAACGCTGCGCGTGCTGGGGCAGGGCACGTGTCTCTGTGTACATGATCTGACGTGTACAGATTTATTATGCGTATATTTTTTTATGAATACGCTGATCCCTACCGTCATTATAATTAGCGTGCGATATTTTCCAGGTGAAATAGTGATTGAATAAAACATGGTGACTAATTAAAATGTGCATGGCAGCTGTTGATCAGGGCAGAGGGTGGAATCGCGCCCCGCTGCCTAATGGAGGAGGGGCGGCCAGACGCACACAGACCGGGGTGGAGGAGCAGGGATGAGTGGCAGCTTCATTCAGCAATTCACAATTTCGCTCCACCGGCTGCTCCACCTCCCTCCGCAGCCCTGCAGTTGGTCAGGGGGCTCTCATGTCCCACGACCAATGAATGGGACCCCTACGTCTTGTACAACAACAGGTTGGGTCAGTCTTAATTTGAAGCTTTCGTGACTGCAGGAATTACTCTTTGGTTCTTTCGGTAAAGTCACGTATAAAGATAAAATAATAAATTAATTAATAGCATACTACGACGTTTCGATTGCAACACAAGCAATCGTCATCAGGTATAAAAGAAAGAAATAGCAACAAAAATCTAACCAGAAAACTGTAGACGGACATATAAGCAGACAGACATCACAAAGATACACAGAGAGAGAACACGCATCGGCACAGAGAGAGAGATCGTCTCTGTGACGGGGCCTTAAATAGAGGGGGGCGGGGTCGGAGAGAGGGAGGGGGCAGAGAAAAAATTAGCATGTCAATGAGTAGGACGACGTGTGGTACGGTACGCAAGCTTGAAAATTAGGAGAAAGGGAGAAAGACACACTAAAATTAAATAACCTAGCAAAATATCGAAATGTAATGTAATGCAACACAGAGAGTCGGTCAACACACAATTAACGCATAGCCTGGTCGATTACGTATTTCAAAGATTGCTAAGTTAGAATTTAAGTGTGAAAATTCCAAAGAGAGGACACAGGCAGTCTTCTTGGTTCTTTCGGTAAAGTCACGTAGAAAAAAAAGGTTGGGTCAGCTCAAGGCACGCCGGCTCCACAGGGTGGCCCGGTAAACTCAGTCAGCGAACAGCGTTCAATCACCCATAGAATATTGGTGCTACGCGCGCACAATCACCAAACAAGCAAAGAATGCCACGATAAAATATCTCAGAATCCCCTTCAATTGCTCAACATGTAAAATTCCATCTTCTCCCCCCTCCTCAACGTCCCCACCCTTCCCCACGCCCCCCACGCCGCGCACACGCGCACTCACGTAACACCCACCCACCACCTGCCCCCCGCATGGGAAGCCGTGTGTGGCCCCCTGCCCCTCCTGCAGGCAGCGGGGGAGGCCGCGCAGAAAACCGCGCGGTGCCGGTTCATCTCCTCCCACTGTGAGTGGCGTCTCTTCCTCCTCCTCCTCCCACTGTGAGTGGCGTCTCTTCTCCGTACTGAGTTGCGTCTCTTCCTTCTCCCACTGTGAGTTGCGTCTCTCCATCCCCACTGTGAATGGCCCACATCAGCACTGGTACGCGGTGGGAACGCATCAAGAAAGTCAATGCCTCTCCGCCCAAAGCCACAGCTGGCTTTAGAACGTCTGCTGTCGTAATTCTTGACACGTTTATTCCTGTAGATTTGTTTTATGAATCCACGTGGATATTCAGTCCAGGTGCTTGCATAATGATGGTTTATGTAAGTGGGTTATTGTCCATGGAAGGGACTGATCTGTGTACTCGCGGAGTGGGCGATTCGCGTCTGTGCTGCCGAGAGGGAGGGCTTCGTGC